TGTTTGATATTGCCAAGTCCGTATTTTTCTATACTGTTTCCGGACTTAGATTAAAAGCTAATTAGGTTTTTGAAATGTTAGCCTTGAGATTTGATCAAAATCGGTTGCCATTTATATCTCATTCTGACCAATGCTAAAGATAGAATCTTGGAACCTTCTAAATAGTATTTTACCAAAATGTATACACTTGCCGATCGGACGGCTATATTCTATAGCTGCCATTGGAACGATCAGGTAAAATTTAAAAAGATTATTTGTTTTCTAATAATCTAATAATAATGCATATATCTCAATTTAAAGACTTATATAACGGTTTTACATAGTTTAGAAGGAAGTTAGCTTTCGTTCTCTTTATTTGCTCATATTATTATTATTTTTTAGTTTTACTTAAATAAATATTTTTAAAACATCCTCAACGAAGGATGTTTTCTATTTGGCAACATTTGTTATTACCATATTTCAATATAGTATAATGTTTAGTAACCATCTTTTATCCACACATCCTGTCAAATGAAAAATTAAAACGGCCAATAGCTACATGCTCTTCCGTCAGTTCTTAATCACAACCTCAAAGATATATGGAATATGACTCTTTGATGTGTGGCAGCTGTAATTAGAGATAATGACAATTACGTCCGATAAAAGCTTGGTCCAACAAATGTTGGACTGTCTGCTCTGTGTGTAATTCTATGGGTAGTTTTTAAAGCTCCACTTCCGCTCCGGCTGCAAAGTTCGAGCGTTGACAGCTCGACGGCAAAATGTTTCTCGGCTGCAGACACCGACTCTTAAAAGTGGTAAAAACTTTTGCGGTGATAAGCGTCGTCCTTTTGGGCTGCAAGGGGGGTGGTAGTGGCATTTCTGGGGTCCTGATGCCGATGCCTTGTGGCAGCGCATAAAAGTATGCAACAGTTTTTAGCTTCCGCATTATGCCCAACTTGTTACTCAAGCCACAAGGAAGTCAAGCTTGCTGCTCCTGGCTGCCACATTCGGTGTTTTGGCTCCGTATCAGTTCTCGACTGAATAGACACGTTATCTATACACAATACGGTTTAAAGTGAGCTCGACGAAGGCACGTTTGAATGATACTCCCCGTTGACTGAACCCCAGCCCCATGGAACTTAACACAATGTTGTGCACTTCTTTTGTGTTTTTCAGTACCCATTTTGTGGCTCTGGCGAAGACGTGCCATTGTGTTCACACAATATCTGGGAAAGCCATTTCGCATTCATTGTGAAGTGCCTGAAAGTTTCGGCCGCTTGAGCTTTGCCGGCAATTATCAACTGCCAAATTCGCACACTCACATACTCGAATGCAAATTAATCAACCGAAATAAATCTAAATTAGAGATCTTGACACCAGCACAACGCACCGAATTCAATTTTCATTTCAACAAGTTGAAATAAGTTGGTCCTGGGTGGCCACAACAATGCAATATTTTATTGCCCAAGTGAAGTTTACCTGAACAGAAAATACAACTGGGAATGCATGCCTCGGTATTTCGTAACACATAAATTTGATTTGTTCGACAAGCCTACAACGAAAGGAGTAAATGGTTACACGTTGAAAAATATTGTTAAAATTCTGAAATAATTATAAGCTAACTTATCTTTTTCAAATTTCAATTATAAAACGTGCAGTAATCCCTATTTAATGTTTCTGAAATGCATTCAAATTTAAATTATAAAACGTGCAGTAGTCCCTAATTAATGTTTCTGAAATGCATTTAAAGGTTACAATTTTCAACTAAAAAGACAACTTTAATTACATTTGCAAATTACTTTCCTCAATATTTTACTGTGCACGATAAAAGCTACTGTTGGCAAACTCTGCAGTAAAGTTCAAGTTTTGCATTGCACTTTATATCATGGGACGACACGCAGATCGACATAAATAATTCATGCTTGATAAATTAAACAATATACTAAGCAGCCATTTGTTATGCATAAAGTATGCGCCATGTGCGCCAGACTGTGGCACACCCACACACCAACACACCCACACGGAGACAAAATGGCGGAGGCTGTCGTTGCAACAAGCGACAATTGCAACGCCTGTAAAGCCCCAAAGAGCGGAAACGGAAACGTGCATAGTGCATGCTATTTGCACAAATGTGTGCAGGAGCGGGGAAATTGTCTGGCCGGCACCACCACTACCACCATTATGCATTGTGTCTGCGAGGTAGTTGTTATTGTGAAGAGCATTTGTTTATGGCCACTTGGAAGTAGTTGCGCCCTCGAGGTTCAGGTCTCCTTCAGGTTGTATATTTGCCCAGCGGACCAGGTAGTTAGCCTAGGGAACAGAAAAAATATTATAAAATAGCTGACTTCATGAATTAATGCAAATTCATTTTTAAAATACAACATATAATAATAAAACATTTAACTAAAAGAATTAAATACTTAATCGGTCTCAGTTTGATTGTGATTTTCTTGAAACATATTTATTCCAGAGTTTTAAAAATATGAGAACGAGTATTATTTAAAATTCTAAGCAAACATTTATCTTTATTATGAAATAAGTAAACTTTCCACTTTGTTTGCCCCATAATAAACACCATCTACACGCAATGGCAGTCCCCCCGGCTAACGAGATTCCAAACTAACCTTGACAATTACTCATAATCACTGCTGGTTATGCACTAACCTTTGCCTCCGGGACGACTGCTGCTTGCCACAGTGCAAACACAACAGTAATTATGTAATGAATAAAGGCCACATTCACCGGTGCATCCTGGCAGTGGGATGTGGCGAGGTCCCTAAATGGCGCTTGTCGTGTGTGCCGCTCTTTTCAAATGCCTAGGTGGCAGATACTATAATTGAAATGGAAATTACTGCACCACCCACATGCACGACCATGCTCTCACCACCCACTCGTGCTGCCAATGCAAGAATTTTATTTAAAACTTGTTAATATCCAATATGAAATATAGTTTCTTGGTAACAAAGTGCTTAAATCTTTTTTAAAATAAAAATCATTAAATAGAAATTACAAGTTAAAAGCTATCAAAAAATATTCAATATACTTCTGAAATGCATAATTTTTTAACTATGTGCAAGTTGATTTAACATTACTTTCATGAAATCTTTTTGGTTTTTTAGTTTCTGAGGATCCAGTTCAGAGCTAGCGTGATTTTTAAGAGGAGATCTCGGAGATTAGCTGAAGCTCCTTTCCAAATAAATTCTTTTACTAATACTTACTCTTAAAATACTAAACGGTATGGGAACAAATTTTATATAAATAAATTTATATAGCCCCTTAAAATAAAGTTGTTGAAAATTAAGGAATAGCTAGATTTTTAAAGTAAATAGCCAGGTGGCTTGCACTGGCTAGTCCGTTGGCTTTCGTAATTATGTATACGTCATGTGTTACATGGCGGCACAATTTAAGTTGAAATGTCTGCCAAAGCTCGGAACGATTTCGGTGAATGGCAAAAGGCGAAAGGGAACAAAGTAGCACTCGTGACGAGCAATTTACTAGCGCTTTGTTGTTCAGCAGGCGGAAGATTTTAATGATGCCACCAGAGGCCGGAGCCGCTGGCATTTGGCATTTCCTGCAGCCAATGCTGATTTAAATTAATTACTGCTAAATATTTACTCTGGCTGCAGACGGCGATCGCAGACGCTGCTGGAGCTGGAGCTGGAGTTGGCCAGAACGGGACAGGCGAAAGCTGAAAGTTGGATGGAAATCGATACGCGTGACAGCGAGCTAGCGTCATAACGCCAGACGTCGAAGCGGCGAGAACAAGGCAAACAAAATTAATTTAATTTGCACACAGTGCTGGCTTTCGTGAGCGTGTCTGCGTGCGAGTGGCTGGGATTACGTTGTATGGAATTTAATGCAATTTAAAACGCATCAATTTCCGTGATGCGCTGCAGCGGACATTGTCATGTCCTGGCAAAGGCGGACCATGGAAATATCCCCGCACGCACACACGACGCCGGCAAATGCTGTTTAAGCTGCAACAATAAAGTCGAATCACAGGATGCATCTGCGCCTGCATCCGCTACCTTTCGATGTCCGTGTCGCCTTCTCCACGTGGCCGTGGCCAAACTTCTGACGCCCTGCTTTCGGATATTCGCATACATCCTTACGGACTTCTCGGCACTCGCTTAATTAATGATAAATATTGCCCAGAGCCGGCACGCAATTCCCCCACGGCGCTGTCATCGAGTGTTCGGCCCGACAAAAGCCGGATAACAACTCAATTGGCTGCTAACCCAATCACCGGCATATTCGGTTGACCGTGGTTCATTAGCCAGAGTGTTCGGTGCGGTTCCTCGAAATCTCCTCAGGTAAAGGCTTTGATCTGCCGACTTTAAGGCTGCTTGTTTTCAGCCAGAGTTTGTCTGCCCCTGGAATGTTTTGCTTCAGCTGGCCAGCACGGTCCGGGAATTTGCTGCTATGTTGCATGCAACAACTTTGACTTGGCCGAAGAGTTTATAAAATATTTCCTTGTTTTTCCCAAGTTGCATGCCGGGTCTGAGAAAAATGGCTTAGCAGCAAACTATCTTAAAAGTTATTTCCGTCGAATAATAGGAATAATTATGGACTAACTTTCATAAGACAAGCCCATATTTGGCTGTATAAAAAATGCAAGGCAAGTTTAAAATTAAACATTAAAAAATTTTGAATGTAACATTGTTTTTCACAATAAAAACTTACTTTTAATACACTAAAAACATAATATAATTATTTATAAATTTAATTGGTTTATCCAGTAGAAAAATTTTAGATTATAATTTTTGTTTAATTTAAAAATAAATTTTACAACACCTAAAAATAAAAATGAAACTGAAAAACACTTTGATTTAAACACAACACCTCTCAGTACCGAAAATATGTAGTTCAAAGTGAATATATTTGGATTTTCCATGATACTTCTCTGGGTGCATATCTGGCTTGTTTGTCTCATGCATACATTTCCAAGACACTAAAACCAAACCAAAATGTTTAAATTGTATTAATTAAGCTATGGTTACAATAAAAACTAAAACACGAAATTAATGGCAAGTAATTACAGAAATTTATTGCGGCCTGGTCGAGCTTATATGCTTTTCCCCTTGGCCACACGTCAACAATGAACTAAATCAGAACAAATTAAAAATAGTGGAATACAAGTATGTCTTAGGTCGGTGAGACCAAGCACCACAGCAGGCACAACAGGATGGCGTAGACCAGCTGGAAGCACCTGAGGAATCGCAGCTGATGCCCCACCCAAGGATGCTGGGCGGACAGACGCGACAGCACGGTGAAGAGGTCCAGCCCCCAGGTGACTTCGTGCCGGGCCAGTCGGCCAGGTCGCGTATCGATGGGATCGTTGATCCTGAACCAGTCAGGGAAAGGGTCGCTGAGGTACATACCCGTGGGACGGGGCACTGAACCCGGCTGGGCCAGGAAGAGACTGTCATTGGAGTCGGCATTGGGTCCTTCGCCGTGGAAGGGCACGATGTCCTCGTGCAGGATCAAGCAGTGCCGACAATGAGGGCACTGCGGAGTGGCTTTTCCACTCAGGCGGGGCCACAGGCAGGTCCAGCAAAATAAATGGCCACAGATGGTGATCACACCTCCACGCACAAGGTTTTGGCACACATTGCATTTATAGGGCACCAGGAATCTATGCCAGAACACACTGCACATGGTTAAATTGGAAACATTCACCTGCCAGTCCTTCGAAGCCTCTGCTCTGCTAGAAAATGTGTACAGAAGACATTACAATACAAATTACTTCCCGATCTCTTCACCATGAATACCGTGTTCAGGTTGAAATTCCGCTCCTGGATCCTCTAGATCTGATTTGTGTTGGTCAGGAAAAAGATTATCCAGTTCGCTTTGAATTTATCGAGCATAACCCACAATGACTTTCAAAAGCAATGTTCTACAAACCTAATTAATTTTGACAAACAATTCTTTGCAAACCCATTTTCCAGCTAAAACATATAATTTTAATTTTTCAGCAAAAATCCAATTATTTTAATCATTGGTTAATAAAATACAATACTGTTAGGTATTGTACTAATTTTTGTTTAAATAAATAATATTTGTTGTCTAAAAACTTGAGCCTGCTCATCGATTATTTTTCTCAGCCAAAGGCATTTGACAAGACAGTTTCAGGGATTGAAACTTGCTGGTAAAATGATTGATGAGACTGTACCATCGTAGTTTATGCCTGATTCATTCTGTATTAAACGAAGCCCTGCACTTGGCTTAATGCCAATGGCAATTAGACGAAAGCTGTTGCCGCCCTCTCAGAATGGTAAAACAACAACCTACGCACTGTAAAACGACAATGCCCCGAAAAAAATGAGGAAAATTCGAAATACGGAGCAAGCGCGTTCAGTCGCCAGATGTCCGACATATGTCGGCATAATTTATGCGAACATTGAACCGGATAGCGAGTGGAAACTTTGCGGTCCGCTGCTGCTGCATTTAAATTCTGACAATTGTTTGCATTGTCCTGGCAGCACGTCAGCGGCATTGTTTAATCCCGATTTTTCGCGACATCAATGGGGGCCGATGGCTGCTTGTTAATTGACCCACATTTGTGATCGGAGTACATAATTAAAAGAAAATAAAGCGCGGCTCGAACCAAATAAACCCACAGACAACACACTTCGCACACTTGACAATGATAATAATAATAAAAGTGAACCTGCACAGCGGAATTACATGCTTGTTCGGAATTAAGTAAATAATGATTATGATGGTGATGGAGATGAAAAATACCCTGTATGGGTTCTCCAAGTGTGTTCTAGCTTATGGGATAAACTTGTTTACAAAAACCTTTTTAAAATACTTTAAGATAATTTAATAAATAATTTTTAAATACATATTGAGACACTAAAATGCCTGCAAAACCGGTAGACTCACCCTGCCACAATTAATTTGGCCAGTGAATTGACAACTAGGGGAAAAATAATGCATATTAATTGCGACTTTTTCACGTTTTACCAACTGCCGACATTTATCAGGCATTAATAATTACGTGTTAATACGTGAAATATGATTAAGTTTTTATCAGTTTACATGAATCACTTTCGCACGTTTGCATGCGAACAAGGCCGTTTTATTGGCTTCATTTGGCGACGGACCGCAGCGAAACTGACGTTTGCCCAATCGGAATTACAATCGCAATGCCTGTGGTTCTGCGCCATTTGGCATCCTATATCCCCGTCCACAAAGCGAGGCCTTGCCTTTGCTTTTGCTTTTGCTCTTGCCATTTGCATTGGGGGCGTAATACACTTCGTATACGCGGTGGCGACTCGTTGCGTATACGCAATAAAAAGTGGTAAAGTCAAGCGACGGCCAAAGCGAATGGGACAACCGCCTGCGCTGGCCATTAAATGCAACAATAAATTCGGCAGTTCCGTCTCCGTTGACTCCGTTGGCATGCCCGAAATTTAATTAGTTGGCATTTAATATTTAGCATTTCCACTGGCGCCGCGACTGTCATTCTGCCTTGTTTTCGTTTTGCTTTTTATGTTATTTTTCAGTTAATTAAACGCACGCCAAACATTTCGCCATTCTAAATTGTGCGCAATTAAATTTGGAATTACTTTTAACTGAGTATTCTGGGTAGCTTGTGCGGCAATAACTTAACTGGAAATTTTATTGTAAGCCCCTGCCTTGCCAACTGTCACTTTTGATGGGCAGCCATTGGAGCGTAATTAGACTACTAAGCCACCCCTTAGAAACCATATCCAAATTCCATTCCCCAAAAGACCACCTTGAAAGGCAAACTTTAACTTTTACGCCTGGCAAGTCGCTGCCGCCAAGCCTTTAAGTTGTTGCTTAACTTCGTTTGTCTGTAGCTGAAAATTGCACTGTCTGCCTGTTTCATTATGCAAAATGCAATAGTACACAAGCCGATGTGAAGAGGCTGCTTGTCTTCCTTATGAGTTTCACTGCTCAGACTTATCCTGTGCGGATTGCCTTTTTTTGGTCTCCGAAGGTGCCCAAGCACTCACACATCAACTGCATCCGTCTGATGGCATTTTCCATACTCTATAAGGAAAAGTATTCGCATTTTTCCACTCTTCAGATAATAATATTTAATATCTAAGCTTGAAGGTTAAATCAGCTTGTTTGTCCGTTCAAAATATAAATATATTTTATTTAGTATTCAAAATTTAAAACTATTAAGTATATAAGTAACAAGCGCATGCACAGTGCGACTAAGAAAAGCAATGGCAGAGAGGTCCTTTTATATATTTTTTATATCACCTGCGAAGAAAGCACACAGGCGAAATCTGTGTGTCATGGGTGAAAATATAAAGGAGGTGAGCAGCTCGTGTCTGTCTGGACCAGACGTCGTACGAGTGTAATATTTATATTATTGCAACTGCGGCGCCACATTGCAGCGACATGAAATGTTTGGCGTTGCATGAAAACCAAACCTAATGTGCACTCCCAGGGGAGTGGGACTCATTGCTTCTGCGACTCCACATCCTCCAGCTTCTCCTCGAGACTGTGCTTGGGGCGTTTCTGCATGATCTTAATAACGATCAGCACCAAGGTCAAGAAGAGCAGAAGAATGGAGGTGACCGACAGGCCCAAGCTGACGGTCTTTGAGGCCACCGCAAAGCTGTTTAAGAGTAAGTATAGATCCATGGCTTCCTCCAGTTTGGTGAAGGCCAAGCCTACAAAGAAATAATAGGTTGCGACGATGTTGCAGACCATCATTCCCAGGAGCGTGGTCACCAGCTGCGGAAGGCGATAGGATATTTAAATACTTAGAAAGCCCTTTTGGAGAGAAGACCACCCACCACCATTCGCATGTGCTGACGGGTCCTGGAATAATTCGAGTGGTACATCCAGGTGCTCAGGGCGTAAATCACGCAAATGTAGGAGGTTCCTACGCAGACCACTTGGTGGGCCACCTGCTCATAACTGACGTGGAGGGGCAGGATATTGGCGAAGAGCGCCGCGTTCAGCAGACAGAGGATCTGCGGGCTCAGGGGGGGGGTCACAAGGTCATATGCTCGTACTCAGGTGCAACTAACCGCCGTGATGAGCAGCAATAACGATACGATTTCCTTTCGGGAGAGAATCATAATGGACCTTAAACTGGTAATTTAAAAACACAGCAGCGTTTAACTGATGTTTAACTCAAGGAATTTAAAGGGTTTTTTTCTGGATTTTAAATTTAATGTGGGTCCGCTTTTTTGAGTGAGTATATACAACAATAGAAAACACATATTTTTGTTTCTAAAATTTCCCATTCAAACCAAAGTTACTCTGTTAGATTTTATTTATTTCTTTAGTCTGTAAATACAAAAACGTATTGACATTAAAGCAATCATATTTTAAACTGAAGTCGGTAATTTATATTACATGCAATAATGTTAAAAATGTTTCTGATGTAGTGTAGTGTAGTGTAGTGTAAATTCAGAAATGTATTAGTGTTATAACAATAAAAAAAATGTTATCACTGTTAAATATTTTTGATTTTAATACACACAGAGAATACAGAGCTACAAAATTAATTGCAAAAAGAGGGTAACAACATTTTGATAAGTTAAGCCAAACATTTCAGATACAATTAGTAACACAAAAAAAGGCAACAAGCGTTTAACTATTTAAAATGTTTCAACCCTGTTTTGCACCTTAAACTTTTTTTTTCTGTGCATAAATTTACTTGCTATATTTCCCCAAGTAATATGTTGCTTCGCATTTTCCTATTTAATAATGGGGTAATTATAGAAGAAATATATACTGCAGGCCAATTCCTTTCTAACCGATTGCCACACCTTGTTGCTTTTGCTCCAAGGGAGCTTTTTGAAGCAAGGTCGTGATGGTGTCTTCCTAGATTGCCGGCCTATTTGATGAGCGCAAAATCATTCAGAACAAATTGAAATTTGCACCCGTCGGAGGAAGCTTATCTGCGCAGCACAGGCACTTGCACTGCCGCCCATTCCGTTCCATCCTGAAAGGAACGACAGGCAGCCGGCGCTAATTCATCAAAAGTAAAGGCAATTTAGATACTCATCTAACCGGATATCGACAGCCAGGCAGCAAGGCATCAAGGCAGCCAGGCAGCGTGGCAGAGGCAGCCATGTTAGCAGATACCCTCGTCCTGTTCCAAGGACTCAACCCATCCGTTTCTGCGGCTGCGAGCAGCGCGGAGCGTCCTGCAGACAGGGTTTCATAAAATATTGATGGACGTGAAGTTGGCAGCCCATACTCGCATACACGCGTCCTGTTCCGTGTCTGTCGCAGCCATAAATAATTTGCTGTAAATGCAATCGAGGGGTTACATGGGGCTCGGAGATCCGTCCGTGGTTCACGACGGGGGGCTGGAGGTCGTCCGGTGGGCGGGGCAGTACGATGCTAATGGCAAGGCGCCCGGTGCGAAAGTGTTTCGTATGAATTATTCGCCGGCAGCCAATTTGGAGTCACGTTTGCCGGCACAATTGAAACTGAACACCGACCATCGAACCACCGTCCATAATGCTCATTCAGTGTTGGCGATTGCAGATAACCTAAGCTATATAAAGAGCTAAATAATGAGCTTTGTCTAGTAAAAATAATTGTTTTTCTAAAACTTCAATACTTAGCAGAATAACATACACTTATGGTATTTCATTCATAATTATTAGTTATATTGAATACTTACATAACCTTTTAAAGTATTTTCTTTTCGTTTGATTTTTATCTACTTTTTAATTATTTTATTTAACATATTTTAAGTTATTTAAAAAATTTAAAAAACAAGCTATTAATGCAGCAAATATAAAGGGTAAGATCAAAAATGTTCAATGATTAAGGTATACTTTTCCTATAGATTTTAATAAATTTTAATCAATAATTACAGAAATTCAGGTTTTCGAAGTTTGATTAATATATTTGTCTCCATTTTCTGAAAACGTTTGGGTGATTTTCTGGCTAGTTTCAGAATCTGTGCAACGATGGCTTTTAAAATTTTTATCATTTATCATTTATCATTTTATCAGGAGCTAAAATGGTGGTAATAACTTCACTTAAATTTATATGTAAATTAGCTATGATTGCTGTAAAATTTCAAGGACTTCTTGCTAGAAAAAAGCGCAGCTGGCAGCACTGTGTTCCTGCCCAGAACCGCCTGTCGAAATGGCGTAATTTGTTACGTCTGCCACTGTAGCCAAGCATGTCTATCTTCGGGCCGGGCTGCTTTTTAATAGCCATTCTCCCGCTGGCCGACTGTTGCTCGGCGGTGTTGTTGTGCCTTTATCGCCGGACCGCCCCGGCCTTCCTCCTCCGCCGGCTGGGTAATGTGTATTTAATGACGCCCTCTCATGTACAATGCCCGTATCCGTGCGCCCGTGATCCCGGCCTTGTCCACGGGCATGTCCTCCAGCGCCTAATGTCCAGCGACCGCAGCCATCTGCAGGATAATGCCCCGACCTCTGGGCGACGGGTGCCAATAAAGCTGCGCCTGTTGGCGGGCATTTCAATTTCGCGCCAGCCCTGCCTTTTTTCAATATTTTTAAAACGGCAGCCATAAAACGTGAGCGGTAATGTGCGGACAAGGCAGTTTAATTGTACCCCTGCCCCCAGGACAATCAGCTCCTGCTTGTCTCAGATTATGATGGGATAGCCGTCGGTGTGTTTAGACAATAATTGAATTTATGTCCGTTTGCCAAACAATTGCCAGCTAAGCCTTAAAATACACTAGAAAACTATTGCTATAAAAACGAATAGGTTGTATAGGAGCTTCGCTTATAAGAGCTTCGAAACCAGTAGTTACACATTTACTTTTTATTTATTTCGAATTTAAAATAATTGCAAAATAACTAAATCTTTTTAACAACATATTCTTTTAGGCATATTTTGGCTTATGTATTGATTAGAAATAAATTGAATATTATTTTACTTTTTAGCTTAATCATAATAACATTGTGTTAGGCACTAGCTATACCACACTTTGTATAGAAATATGCATTTTGTAAGTTTAATTTCACTTAATTTGGTCTAATTCTTCATATTTTTTTACAGTGCTCATCTACTCTTATCATGCAAGAGCATATGCAGAAGCCCGAGTGAAATTAATTAATTCGCTACACTTACCTGGCCGATCCAATAAGATGCTTTCCAATGGCTGTTATTGCTGCAATAATAATTCACTTAAGAGGGGTTAATAAGTGCCCTGCGTGTTCAAATGCTTAGCTGAATGGCACTTCCTCTCGAACAATTGCACCTAATTGCAGACACTTCAACTTAGTTGCACATCCATGGCCATCCCACCCCGATATAGGGATTAAACATATATATACATATATATATATATATATATATATATATATATAACCACCCCGCAATGCAATCTCGTACCCTGTTCAATACAGTTTCCATTCCGCTGGCAGCGCAGCAAAGAGAATATGATAAAAAGCAAAGGAAAATTTGCATAAAGCTTTTAACCTAACGACGCGACATTTGCTTTTTATGTGATTCATGGACCTTCCAGCTCATTTTCTTTTTTTTTTTTAGCCCAGAATGCAACAACATAGTCCTCCTGCGAAGCAACTTCCGCACAATTATTCAGCAGTTTTAAACACAACAATCGCCTTCGATGACCGTCGGCAGAAAGGGAAACTGTGCAGATCTGGTTGCATGGCTGATTGCCTTCGGGCCAAGAGGCAGGTTCCTTCGATTCCGACATCGACTTGGTCGCTTAAGCAGATTGAAACAATCTGCGGGGTGGGTAAAAGCTTCCAGCTGACTGGGGGTTTTCTTTGGCTTTCGACTTTCGCCCCGGCTGCCATTATTATTATTCTCCGCCGTCTGCCAGCAACTGTCAGTTGGGTAATTTATAATGAAGTTTCCCTATTGACAGTTGCTGCCGCGGCAGCTCCTGCGAATTCCTGGCCTCCAATTCGCACTTCCGATGCAGTGATTCTCCTGCAGCATGGCATAAATTATGGATTCCGCTCTGATATATCGCCATAAATTGCTTGTCAAGACTGCGAGTCGTGAGTCGACAGGCAGACACGCTGGCTAACTAAGATGCCGGCAAAACAAATAACAATCAAAATCACTTTTCGACCCCAAGTCGATTTATATGGCAAAATCTCGACTCTGAGGCCTTAATCGCTGAGGCCAGCCGCATCATGAGATCGTCAATCGTTTTGATTTATTGCCATTTTATTTGCGCATATCCCTATTTGCCTTGGCCGCAAACTTCGAACCCAAATTTCGGGCGAGGCTATTTTATTGTTCGATGCGATAGCTTATCGGGCCAAGCAAACAGGCAGAGCGCCTCGAAGGGTGGCAAATATCATAATTTTCGCAGGACACGCTGGCTTGTGTTTGCTTTCGTCCTGTCACAATGCCGTGCAGGGCATAAATCTGAATTAAATGCCCTTTTGAGCGGCTCCCAAGGAGAAGGAGCAGGGCTCAACGGCAAAATGTTTATATTCAGCACATTGTCACTTGTTGTGGCCACTTTCTCGGACTCCTACTCCATCGCCGACTCCAACTCCAACTCCGGTCATGAAATTCCGCCGGGAACCGCTGCTCAGTGGCCCGGGCAAATAAATATTAATCATTGTGTAATAATTTTCTGCTGTCAGCTAAATTCAAGCAAAGTATTCATAATCCACAAGTAAGAGCCGCTTTTGACAAATCGCTTGGCGGGCCACTCGCATATATATTTATATTTATATTCAAAGTTGGGCGGCAGTTAAAACGCTTTTAAAGTTGCCGAAAGTTTGGGTGCCGGCGGTTGATTTGATTTTTTTCACCGCCGCTCCCGTTTGTTTTTCGCCGAGTTTCGGCAACTGTAAATCAGTTTGAGATCCTTTGATGTGCTCTCGGATCCTGAGAAACGAGATTGCAATAATCAAAATGTAATAAACAGGCCCTCTCACATCCGCTTTCAACTCCTTGGGTCAAACAAAAATGTTGTTTATGCATGGGTTTGGGTTTGGGTGTGGGTTTGGGTGTGTGTTTGGGCTCCTTTGTACGTGATTGTGTGAGTGTGGCGGCTCCTCATCTTGTCCTTTGTGTGGCTCTCAGCATTCGATGCACGTAACGCATTGTTTGAATTTCATGGCGACTTTATGAGTTTTGTAATCAGGTTTGTGAGCAAACAGACCCAAACACACACGCACCCTCGCACTCACGTGTTAACCTGCACATAAATATTGTTTCTGGTCGTGGCCTCTCAGATGTGGGCGTGTTGACAAGCCGGCCCAGTCGACCGGGCAACCAGGAAACCAGGCAACCGCCCGTTAATGCTAATGAAACCCAAAGTTTTTGGGCCCCTCTCCACGCCTATTAAGCCATTTTGTGGTCTACAAAATCCACTTAAAACGTCTGGCGGCAACAAAATATTTTATTGCATACTTTTATGCGCAGACATTACCTGCACTGCTCCTCGCACCTCACCGATACCAATCGCTAAAAATGCTCAACAATGTGATTTATACACGCTGGAAGCACTTAAAACTAGACACACACTTTCACAATAGACTGTCCACGCCTCCGAAACGCCCCTTTTGTTGTTTGCTGGCACTTTTGGAGCTTTTCCAAGTCGCCAAGCTTAGTCAGCACACAAAGAAAAACAATATGTCACTTGAATTTTAACTTTTTAAGTCCAAATATTGGGGAGTGCCATACGAAGAACTAGAGTTTTGAAATCATTTATATAGGTGTTTAAAAGTTTGTACAACATATTTTTAATTCGGAAGCCAAATGATTTTATTCGGATTGGATTGGTGAAAAAGAAAACAATAGGTATATTAGGATTTTTCTTGAGATCTTTAGAAAAATGTAAGTTCGGCCGGATAAATTAACTAATTTAATGTTTAAAATCTTAAAAAAATGAATTTTTTTCATGATTTTCACAAAGATTTCATGCCTCTTCTTTTTAAGATAAAAATCACTGCATTTATTACATATTTTCCTCTGTGCTGCGCCATTGTCTGGGTGCCAAACAAAAGCCGCTCTGCAGTTGATGACCAGAAATTAACTAAGCAGCAGCAGCAGCAGCTACTAAGTTGGCAAGCATGAAACAATGGGCCAGACTCAAAGACCAGCCCCAGCCCCCAAAAGCAAACAAGTAGTATTTCCAACCCCCAGGTTTGCATGTCTGGCTATCTGCTGTCCACTCCGGAGCATTAAATAAATATTTGCCATGCTCTGCAGGAATTTTGAGACGACAAGCCTGCTTGGCTGAGAAAAAAAAAATTCCAAATATCATATCATCAGCATTTTTCGATAGAGTCGCCCATGGACATGGGGCCATGTGGTTTCGGGGGCTGGGATCGTCCAGTGTTTACCATTTATTTTTTGATTTGGGTATTTTAGGTGTGGATGGATGGGCGAAGGCGGGCGTGCGTGTCCCAAAGAGTGTCAGTGTGTGTGTGTTTGGGTGTGAGTGTGTGGAGGGGTGACCGTGGTGTGTGTGTGTGTGAGTGTGGTTGCTAAGGCAGCAGAGTGTTGACAACTTAAGTGGAATTTTGCTTGCTCAAGCGTTGCAGGCATTAGCTTTTATCAGATGACATTAATATTGAATGAAGGCCAGTTATTAGTCGGGCTAAAAATATACTTTACATAAAGGGTAGCAATTTTAAATCAAGTAAAATTCAATGGATAACGGAATGTACAATTATATTTAAAACATCAACACGAGTCGCAACTCAGTTAGGTCTTCTTGCGGACATGGTGGTCATATAATATCATAAAACCGTAGAGATCGGACTTGATCATAGAACGCCTTACGTTGCTGCTAAATGGATTCTTTTTCGTGGTGACCGTGACGTTCTTGTGATCGCCCTTGTGAATAAACATCAGGCCATGTTCTGGATGGGCCACAACTGTGTAGTTGTCGTTGTCATTGGCAAAGATTTTCCTGGTTCTCCAATCGTAGAAGACAATATCGCTCGGCTGAGGCTGCAGCATCTTTCGCACCTCGAAAACGGCCCGCCAATCGACTGCATTGGGTCCTTTGAACCTGCAGTTGCGCAGACTGGCCTCGAAGTCAATGTAGCCGGACTTGGAGAAACCGCTTCTGCCACTTATTTCCAGAAAGATAATGGTCTGCAAAGTGAGATTGTTTGCAATTGTTTTGATTGATCGCTTAAAAACCGCTTACTGATATCTCCTGTTGCACATTGAGATGTTCCCGTTCGGCCAGAGCCCAAAGAGCTGGATCCGCTCCTGTGAAATACTGACTATAGTATATCTGGGCAGAGACCGTTGGATTCAGCAGCTGCTCCACCTGTTTCTTCACATTCTGGAACTCGTCCTCCTTGTAGAAACTGCGGTGCTCCCGATAGCCGAGCTTCGTGAGGGTTGTGACCGTCTTGTAGGAGGGCAAGTACCGGAAGTCCTCGACGGTGGTGAAGGAGTGCAGATACTCCTGGTAGTTGTCAAACTTGGCAATGCTAAAGTCCGTCATTATGGGACAATATATTCCCAGTTATTATGCAGTGTGAGTACAAAGGGTGTTTCTCTGTGAAACCTGTTTGAAGTAGAATTCTGTGTGATTTAAAGGCTCAAGACTGCTAGGTTTCAGTTGGCAGACATTTTGAATAATTATTTTGTTCTGAGGCTAACCACAAATTACAAGAACTTCATATATGCTCTGCAATAAAATTTTTAAAATTAATTTTAAAACTAAATTGCTTTTAAATTCATTTATAGATTTTAATTTTCTTCAGGGAGTAAAAGCCGTTTACATTTTGTATAAAGGGCGAGTTGTAGTTCCATTTACCAATGGTGGCTACAGCACGTTCTGGCCAAATCCGCAAATATTGAAATAGTTTAAATAATCCGGATCATGAAAATGTCGATTTTGTGGAATTTTTTAATAAATTTCGGTTGAATATGTCTCGCTGTGGCGACTTTTCATTTGGCGCATTATCCAAATACCACAATGGGCAAAAATATGCATACGTTCATTTATTTTATTTGTCTTTGCAGTCGAGCGTGTTTAAATGAGGGTTTGATGTCCGAAAAATTCCACTCAGCACAGAAAACATGTTCACTTCTTAAAATGCCCATGCCATTCACCGAAAAGTCATGAAAGCTGGTTGTATTAAAACCATGCCCGGCATTCCACATTTCTGATATGGAGATGGAAAAGCGGATTGTAAGGGCGGAATTTCGGGGTTCACCAACCTGCGAGGCAGCCATTCAAATTTATCAACACTTTCGCCAATGACGTAATTTCCGCTTCGGCACGCACACATAAACAATCGTGCAGCTGACACAACAATAACAAAATGGCCGACGCGTGCTCAGCGTTTGAAACCCAAATAATTAACTTGAATACTAATTAGTTGAATTATCAATGGGCGGCACTGTAAGCCCGCCACGAGTATTTATTGACATTAAATCGACACGAGCACACAGGGGCATGAACGTCCAGGGGGCGTGGCATTCGATGTTTATGGCCCATGGGCCTAGCCGGTGATATCTAGAATGTGCTTTAACCGCATAAATCCCCATTCAGGCGATGGGCTTTGCCGGGCATTTAAATATATATCAAGTGGCATCCCAGATACCCACTATTATTTACATGGGCCCCCATCAACAACTGCAATATCAGCAAGTTCTCGGCGTGTGTAATTTAAGGCCATGACATAAATCATCAGGACACCCGCTCAGACAATTTTGTAAAACACTCCGAGTGCCCAGGCCCCTTTTTTCTTTTGCTAGGCAGACTTGGCATGTGTTGAATAAATTTATTGTTGTGCATAATGCTGCCCGAGATGGCAAGCGTAAAAAATTGCCATTATGAATATGAAGTGCATTGCGTTTAAGGAGCGCAGTCACTCCTGCAAGATGACTGCTCATAAGCGTGTGCGAGAGTGTGAAAGATGGCGGCGTTTAAGGACACATTGCGTCACCAGTCGCAGCTCGTAATTATGAATATTAATTGCATGCTAACCGACCAAAGTGCCAAGAGCAGAATGGGGGCGTGATCCTGTGCAGCTATGCAAATATACGCAAAACTAATGGCACAAAAACTGAGTCTATGAATAAATCACAGCAGATTAGGTCCCAAATCATGTGAAAAGGGATAAGAACGCAAAAGTGTCCATCGCCCCAAAAGCACACAAACACGCACAAAACCCGAGAGAGCCTAAACAAATAGGACCAAAAAGTATTGGCATAGAAAAAGATACGACCAGAGGAAACACACAGTTCATATCTGCCTAAAATGCAAGTCTTCATTAAATTTGCATATGTCGATATTTTGGGTCTCCCGCAGAGTATCTCAACAATATATGCGAGTGTCTGCAGAGCTTAGAAGATTTCAAATGATGGATGACAATCGGCAGTCCAATTAAAATTTCTTGTACACAACTTGAGCCTTTTTCATAACGAAATTATTGCATAAAGCATTTTATAACAGGCTATTTTAGCTACTCAATATAAGACCATAAACGAAGGACATCCAGACGAAGTAGTATTTTATGGAATTTGGTTTATGGGTCTATTGAATTTTATTTTCGTACTTGCATCACTGGGCTGGCTGTATTTTCTGTAATTATTTGCCATGTGCGTCAGAAAACTTTGCCATTTTTGTGAGCGAGTGCACTTCAAAGTTTATGCGCCAAGTGCTACATGGCGTATACGTAATTTTTCATTTCGTACCCAGATTCAAGGCACTCCGCAGTATGTCTGTATCTAGCACCTCCCTTCGACTGTCATGTTTTACATGCCCCTGTGTGTGCGTGTAGTTTCGAGTGCTCGTTTTCCGTGCCCTGTTGATGTTTAGTTTTTAGACAAGCCGGCAAATATATTCGAATTTTATGCAAATTTTAATTGCTTTACTTTGCGATGAAAATTTACGACCGCAGCCGTGGCAGAAAAAAAATAGGACCTCGGTGAGGAAAAGAGGAATCATCTGCATAAATATTTTAGTGGTGCTAAAATAAATAATAGCCATTCTCGGTGGTTAATTCTCGACGTTGTCGGCAATTAGCCAAGGACACAATTTGCCCCGGAAAAAAATACCAGCAGCAAATCAAGGCGATTTTATTGCCCAGCTCGGATTTTCCTTGGCCAGATAAAAAGCTTTGGACGCACAAGCTCGCCAACAGACCCCAAGGACATGCGGAAAGTTTGAAATTAATTCGCAGAAATCACTCAAAAGGATTGCCAGCATCGCAGCAACACATGTGTCCTTTTGGCTGTCTCTCCGCAGAATTTCCGGCTTTTTCTGTCCTTCCACGATTTTTGGACAGTTGACTTGCTAGACAATTGACCCAGCTGAGTTTTTTATTTGATTTGCTCCGACCGACTTGAACGCTCTTTTAATGGCCTTCTAATGGCAGACCATGACATTTTTATCGTTCTTAACTGTTCAAACAGTTTGTTCATTTATTTCTGCCCTTTACTCGGGCCCAGACATTTGGTTCTTCATTTATGTTTTATGTAGTATTAACATATGCTCGCCATCAAAAAAGCTTTTACTTGCTATGTTTTGAATTATTTTAAAACCAAACATATCCAGACTTAATGAAAATGATTTGATTTAGGAGAAAGAGCGATGAGGCACACTAAACATTTTTTAAAATGGAGTTTTAAGTTGTAAGTAAGCTTTTTGAAATACTTTAACATTTTAGGTGTAAATGCCATTTGATTGGAAATATTATGTTGAATTTAACCAAAGGTGTTTTGATTAATCATAATTTAAGATTTATTTACGAAACCGTAATCAATAAAGTAATGTATAATGTCTTATTTAAATATATCTTAAAGTTAAAAGATAAAGATTCTAATAATTCTTATACATACATATAAAACAAAATGAAAATATTACAAATTATAATAACTAGTGGTTATTTATTTTATAATATATTTTTTTTGTATTTTTTTTAGTGTACAACACAACACAAGTACGGATTGTACTCAATGTCAGCATATTACACATTTTGTTATTCAATTTAATATCATTTTAATCTGTTACGACCCCAAATATTAAACAAACATATTGTATTGGGCTGGGATCCTAAGTCTGGGCCTTGGGGGCGTTTCCCTGCAGTTGTTACTTTTTACGAGCATCAATTTCTGCCACATTGACATAAATGCGCATAATAACCGAAATGCTTTTTACATTTCCGCTGCAAAGGAAGTCATAAATAAGCCAAACGCTGACGGGGCAGTCGAACCCGGAGACCCGGCATCTTCGTTGTCCGGCTTTCTCCGGAAAGGGGCGTGTTCCCGCCCATTTTTCTGCTGCATCTGCGTCGCCACAATGGGCGCAAATCAAGTTATTACGGCCCATGGCTGGACTTTGCGACTGAGTCACATATGGCGAGCATAAATAGCCCAGCACTTTGCACCCATCCGCCCTGTTGGCCGGCTGACTCGCTCACTCGCTGACTGGCTCACTGGCTGACTGGCTACAAACTTTCTTTATGCGCTTTCCATGAACATTTCGTGGCAGGTTTATGTATTTAATGGACTTTGCACAACTTTCTTTTGCTTTTTGTTCGACCCTTTCTTTTTGGCAATGGCCAGAGCGTCTGCATCGCAAGTTGGAAGGCTCGGGCGCATTATGTCCATTGGCAAAGTTTTGTGACGCCAGCATTTATAACCGCTTCAGCGTCCATTTTGATTATTAGCCAGCGACACAAACACAATGCGTGGGATTTTATGTCCAATTATTTTGGTCTCCAGCGCAGCACATTCAATTTACTGGCGGCGCCAGCCAGACCAACATTAATAAGCCAATGGCGGGATCAAATGTCAATCAAAAATTAAAAACTAATTGCTAAATGTGTGGGAGAATAAAAGGTAGATACCAAAGTCTTTTCAAAATACTATTATATTTAAATTAACATCAAGCGACCCGCTTTTAGTGCAGCCTCGGGCCTTTAATCTGCCTGCACTGAAAGCCTTTCACCTTCAACCTTGGCATTTTACGCAGCTTTGGTTTACCTTGAACTTTTGCCAGGAAAGCGAAAAAAGATAGTCAATGGGGCACTTTTGTTGGCTTGTTTGGAAAACCTCTTTTCAAAAGAAAGCCTTGCATATGGTTCGTTTGAAATGGAAAGCTCAAAAGTAAAAGCAAACATCATAGCTCTTAACCGCCAATGAATATAAAAAATACTTTTCACAGAATCGCACAAAATCTTGCATTAATCCCAGCTGCTTTTTAACTATTTTGGGTACGTGGAAATCTGTTTCCTTTTGCGATGTTTAATATCATGCTTTAACATTTGTATTCATACATTTTCCAATTTCACAGAAGGCATTTTACTTGGCAGAGAGCATGCACCGAATAGACGTCGTGAGGCAGCAAAAAGCCAACACATAAGATGGCATTCTGCTGTCGCCTTTTGCCGACGGCAAATGTTGTCTTCGCAACATTATTAAAATGTTGTCAGGCATTCCGAACAAGTCAGTTTGCAGTGCAGTATATTTCATATTTGCAGCCACACAAGCCAGACTTGTATGCTGCATGTTACGACGGCAACACTATGAGCAATAAGAGGCAAACAAGCTACAATACTGCTTTAGGAACTCTCGACCTTGCTCGCT